GTTCATCCTGTATGAGAACGGCTAGTGGTGGCGGTAGTTGTCGTCCCTGGAACTGTTGGTTGGGGTCCTTGTAGGGCTTCTGTAGCTGAACATGGAAAGTGTTGTGAAACTTTCACATGGTAGGTAAGCGCAAGCGGAATGTTACTGGAGTCACCATCGCCTCAACGTGAAAAGGACCACAGAAGCAAGGCCGGATCTTGGACGGAAGATGATACAAGTCCAAGTTGCGTGTGTCAAGAAGCACCTGATCTCCGACTGCTACTGAGTGATCTCGTTGCTTTTGATCTGCATACTGCTTCTAGGAGTTCTGCATCGTGGTGAGACGTCTTCTCCCAAAGCTGCCGCATGGTGGTGACGGAGTCATGTGCATGTGTGCCGGTGTGGTTTGGTTGCTGCGGTCTAATTGGTTCCCGTCTGTAATACAGGAAGAAAGGAGATTTTCCTTGGCCGCATATGAAGCGTTGTTGTAAGCGAACTCAAGCGTCTGTAATTGTACACCCCAATGGCTAATATCGTCCTTGCATGCAGTGCGCAGTAAAGGTTTAACCACTTATTTGAGTCGCTATGTCTGTCCGTCCGTCTGGGTGGGGTTTTCCGAAGCGGAGAGTCACCCCACGATGGGGTAGACTACGGGGGAGGCTAATAGGCTGTACACGTTTATCCCACTGCTTCGTATGCTGACACATATTTGTGCTGCTAAAAAGAATGGACAGGAGTTTCAGTAGGAAAATGTTTGACGAGCATACAATACAAGGCAACAGCAATACACTCCGGAAGTTACTCAACACACCTAGCAGCAAGGCGACTTGCCAACTCAGATGGAAGGCGGCTTACCAGCGCTACGCCAAGGTGGCTTGCCAATGGTGCAACAGCTTGTCAACACCGCACGTGGGTCTCACCAATAAATATAGTCTTATACCCACGATAGGGTTCAATGTGACCTGAACACAAGAAAGAGCGCACAAAGAAAAAATTGGTAGAGCGGCTTCTATAAATTGAATCAGGAGCGCCTTGGAATTGACTGCAATCAGCAGGTTGATTTCCTGTCTTTCTTGACATAGGAACAACGATAGAGTAAATCTGTGGGGTTTTCTCCCTAGACTCTAGTCATTTTTTTTTCTCACTTTCATATGTCTCGTTAAAGGAGCACATGATTTATGCTCTACGAGTTGCAATAACATATTTTGAGTGAATCAGTGCTGACGAAAGTATTGCTGTGGAAGAATTCAGGATATGTGGCTAGGTTGACTCTCAAATCCCTCATTTTTCTATACGTTGCAGGGGCAATGTTACAAAGGCAAAGAAGACGTTCTAGTTTGCCCTGTTCAGTTCAAGAATGTAACAGCACAACTACCACATGTTTCGATACATATTTCATGGTCTTATACTAATAGACTCCTCAAATATGTATCTTAATGATTTTGAAATCAGGGTCTGATGATATGCAGTGATATACATGGTATTTGAGAGTCAGTTTAGAATCTTGATGGCACGCAAGCATAGTTCGCTCCTACAGTTCCAGAGCACGACCTATCATTGTAGTAATAGAATTGAGCAATTGCTGTTGAGGTAGTTCCCCCATAGAAGCGGTAAGCAGCTGAGCACGCCATTGATGGCTGGACACGCTTGATCCTACCCTTCTTGCATAAACCCATTGTGAATGACCAATAATCTGCCCTGAGGCAAACCTGCGATCATAGGAAGCACGAGATAGAGTGAACAAAGTGAATAACAGGAAGCGCACAATAGAGACAAGGGCGATGAGGCACATACTCTTTAAAAAACGCCCTGCAAAGCGCGCCTACCTTTGTCCACCTATTTCTTGCCAGCACCATCCCCAAGACCATCCCCCCCCAGCCCTCACAATCCTCACGTCTACACCTATGTTGCTGCCGATAGCGGAGGCAGTGGAAGGGATGGTGGCGGAGCAAGTGAGGCCGGGATTGTTGCGGTACAGCGCAACCCACGGATTCTCACTGGCATTGGCAACCCCTTGTGAACTGCCGGTCCTCTGAAGCAGCTGTTCACATGTGCCTTGAGGTGTGAGTGTACCGAATCTGACACACTCAGGCACGGTGAATGCGAAGGCAGCACTGCGCTCGAGGCACACGGAGCGGCCAGCCATGATGGGCTTGGAGCAGTCAAGGCCGGGGTTGAGCGCGATAATATCTCCCTCATAGAAGTTGAGGGCTCTGCTGATGGACGCACAAGTGTCTCCCTGGAAGGTTGAACAGATGCAGGGAAAGTGATGGTTGGTGCTTGCGATGTGCTTAGTGATATTCTGCCCGATGCTTGCAGTGTGCTCAGTGATATTCTGCTCGGTGCTTGCTATGTGCTGAGTTGACTATGCAAGCCGGTTTAGTGAATGGTGAGGTGTTTTCAAGAGAGCAGAAGGTCTCACATTGAGGGAGTAGAAGAAGGCAGTGCAGGGTGTGGCAGGAGTGCCAGCCAGCTGAAGGACACTGTCTTTGGGCAACGGCTTGCTGCAGTCAATGCCCTGCATTGGGAAACGGAAACACATGTATGAATGAGAGGCGTGTACCACACTCCACATATGCCTCCAACCCACACTGAGTACTGGAGAGTAAGGTTTGCACACCTTAGTACAACATTCTGGGATGCTTCCTGCCACTGACAGGAGGGTGAAGAGAGGTTCCATATTTAAAAAAAGAGGAAAGACAACTGCAATGGGAAGGCGAAAGGAGGATACCTACTTCAAACAACTAGAAGTTGACCAGCAGTGTAGTTACAACCAGGGTACAGTGAAGCAGGGATTCAGAGATGCAGTGACGTGAAACAAACTGATATGGAGAGTGCAGTCCAAAAGCTAATTGAAGGCTCGCAACTCCCACCACCTATTCACCCACTATATTTTGGTCAGTGAAGTCATTTAAGGAGAGGCCAATAAGTGGATGAACGTCCGAGCACAACCAGTTGTCTCCACTAACTGTCATTGTGGTGGCCGTGGTGTTAGCTGCAGGCAGAAAGGGGAGTGAGGTAGAGGCAAAGAAAGCAAGAGACCCGTTGAAGTTTTTGAGGAAGCGGAACAGTATTGAAGAACTGGAAGTTGCCAGCCGCATCAAGAAAGCGGGGGTTACCAGGCATAATTACTCGCAAACAAGACCAACGGACATATTCAAGCCACCCACTTGGATCACAGGTGGGAAAAACGTCGACTGTTGTGCTTTGAACGTGGTTGGGAGGGCAGATGCAAGTGTACGAGCCCTTGCCATCGTTGATGCATGCTCCCACGTAGCAGGGGTTCTTGAGGTATGACCCACACACGTCCACTGCCACACGTGCACCAGGGAGGCGGATAGTACAGCCATTTGAGACAAACATAGGTATTCATGATGAAAGTGAGGGAGATATAGAGAGAAAAGAAGGAATATGTTCTCTGCACACGCCCAGCAATAACTGGCCACCACCGCTGGTTAACCTCTAACACACATCGGACACAGGCAGGAGGAGGATGTAGAGCACACGGTCCATAGAGATGTCTCCCAATTGAACGAACTGTATATGTTTGAAAACATCTGCATGCTACAACAGAAAACCATGCTTCGTTGTAAGACCATATTACATGCCCTACTACTCACCCTTTGACTTGCCACTGAACTTACCATAAGCACATGTGGAGCCAATTCCATTCTCAACCTCCACAAAAGGCTGCACGGTAGCGGTGGGAATATTGCAGGTGCACTTATTGCTGCCTGCCATCGTCCCCTGGCACTAGAAACGGCCGCACGGGTTCATGGTGGGCTGCAAATCCCCATCGCCCTTGTAACTGTGTAATCCACAGGCGTCCCCTGGAACTGGAATGGAACGTGTTAACAGGATACACTTGAAAATCATGAGGATGGAGATTGGTGGATGATTGGAAACAAACAAGCGTGGAGAAAAGAGACTGCCCAGCTCATCGGCTCCAACTCCCTTTCGGCACTGAGTGATGTTACAGAAAAGGTCCTTGAGGGAAGAGGTTGTGGGTTGGTCAAGTTAGTGTCCCACAATCCTGGCGGGAGAAGGCAACGTGGGGGCAGGTTGGCATGAAAAGAGAGCCTGCAGTGTTTTCTCCGAAGTGGGGTGGGGTGAATCACAGGGCCTGGAGGGACCTTGTGTAGGTTTCCACGCACTAAGCTCTGGCAAGGCATCCCGTTACGTCAGGAGGGTGTTGCGGGCTGGTTGTGGGAGGTTGGATTGAGATTGGAAGTGACCGAATTTCAATCAGGTTCTGAATCAAGATGCTTTGCCAGGTGTGGCAGGAACAAGGGAAGTCTCTAAGCCGCTTCGTCATCTGGTCCTGATGCCAGCCAGGGTAGAGGTTTTGGAGTATTTTATCAGCTACTGAGAACTACATTTGATCTAGTTATTTGTTCCAGATTTACCTTGCAGCTCTTCCAAAATGTATGACTCATCCAGTGACCCTGGGAGCAACGTATTTGACAAAAACAACACAGGCGTTTTTGGCAAGAAAGGAGATGCTTGCAGACAACTTACCAAAGGGATCAAGGGTTAGATGCTTGGCAACGAGGTAGATGTGCGGATATTACCGCTCTGGACTGAGGTAGAGGCCTTACTCTTGACAATGGGGTTGATTACTTACTCTTGACAATGAGTTAGATGACTCACTCTTGATAATGGGGTATATGCCAGGCAGCACGTTGATTCCACACACGCCATCCCCTCCCTGAATGTCCATGCGCATGTGGCCCCTGCTGCCCCAGTCCTCTCCCCACGAGTTGCGGATGATCCAATACGGAGGAGCAATGAGGTTTTGGATGTCTCTTTGTCTAATAAAGTAGCCAATAACGAGTACAACATGGTTGAGGCTGCCGTTGTAGCAACCGGGATCCTGGTATTTATGGGTCTGCAGTGAAATGAAAGCAATACATTGATAGAGAGCGAGTCCAACAGCTTTAGTCAGAAAGGTACGAAGCTGCAGCAGGGGATGCAGCACTACATAATGATGACAATCGTCTATCAGTAAATTTACCTGCCATCTAGGTGATGACCCTCAACACAGGGACCACACTACACGGTGGGCATGATATTGCATGAGAGTTGCAGCGACCCACCCCATCATACTGCATGAAGGATTGAGACACCTCGATGTGAACCACCACTGGCTGCCTCTGCACTGCCAGCACGAGCCCCACATACCCCTTGAACTGCGCTCGCTCAAACGCCTGCACCGGGTACCTTGTTACCTGGGACCACGAGATTGCAGCATTGTCAGATGGGAAAAGGTAGGGGGGAGAGTGGAGGTTTGAAGAAGGTATGAGTAAGAATACACCCACCCTTGCTGAGCAGGGGGGAAGAGAAAACAACAAGGAAGATGATAAGCAACACATCTCGTCGGATATAAATAAGTGAAAAGAAGATTGCTTAGATCAGAGACTCTCTGAGCTGGTCGAATGGGATGGGGTGCCAGTTTCAAGTCCTATAACAAAAAATACAAGCATCGTAGTTTACCCTCTACAAAGCTCACAACAATATATCTTTCATGACTGTATCCCCCCCACCTCCCTTGCTACACACCATACCATACCACGACCTCGTGCTGTTGGCCCTACCGGGTCGCTGTCCCCTGGGAGCCCACTGGTGGCATCGAGAGCCACGAGCTTCTCGAATGCTTCCGTGGGGGAGCCGCCAGCGGAGCACTTGTCGGAGTTGGAGAGCCCCATGAGGGCGAAGAGCGCCTCCACTGCCAGCCAGGGAGCGCTCTGATTCTTTGCAATGCCGTATGCCGCCTCCACACTCGCCACCACCGCATACGCCCAGCACGCATGAGAGGAAGGCAAAGGCGAACCAAGGTGAAGCATGCAGAAAGAATGGGGGAACAAGTGTTATTGTTGTCTGGTTGTTGTTGTGGTTTTCTGGTTGGTTGACTTGGTAAAGTGTAGCTTTCTTGTCCCCAACCTTCGAACCCAATCAGTCCAGCTATGATTTTGTCTTCCAATTCCCCCTTCTTTGTTTAATTCCTCTTTATGTATTATACATAAGGCTGTGAGGTTTTGTAGAAAAATGCAAGGTCAATAGCATTTGCTCCGTGAACGTGGTAGAAACAACAATAACTTACAAACACTGCAGTAAGAACAGTAGATTAGGTATGCAATTCAACAAGTTTATTTCTGCAATTTTTTAGTAATAGCAACAGCATTATATTTGCTGGATACGTACACTTATATTTACACTCACTGCAGTCGTTCTGGTTCTTGACAGGCCAGTTGAGGAAGGCCACGGAGTCCCACGTGTGGGAGTCACGGATGCTCCATGAGTCCGTTCTGGTGGCTGACAGCTTGAAGTCAGCACTCACGTAGCGCGAAAAGGGACTGGCTCGAGTCGCTGCAAATGTGGCCTCCGACAATGACAGGCCGAGGGCTGTGAGGGGCAGGTAGGGTTGCAGCACCGGTAAGGGATTTTGGTGAATAGATAAGCAACGTTGCAGTCAGCCCTTCGATTGCGAGATATTTGTTCTCCCCCACAGCGATTGACTGCTTAAGTGTGAGGTCACCAGGCTCAGTCAGAAAGATTTACTAGAGAAATGCATCCACAACATGAGCAGACAAAGAGAGGAGCAAGGTCACTTAGCTAGCAATTCGCCTTGTAGCGTGAACCTTGCTCTGGTGCCAGTTTGTTTGGGGTTGCGGTGTGCCAATTGGCTTACCCTCAATTTCGTGTCAAGCGCCTTGCTATTCCCTTAGCCACCAACCAGTGTTCCTTTCTACTTCTCCAATAACGCACCTGCCTGTACTACACCTTGTATGAGCATGTGTCACGCATATATTATGTCACAAATCTGCAAGCTACAAAGTGGGCAACCGCTGTCAACCGGGCGACCACTGCTGCAGCCGGAGTAGCAGATACCATCGACCACTTGAATTTTCATCCTAGAGCCAGCTGGGATCATGTGGTGGTAGTTCTTTCGTAGCTCTCCCATAGCAGTGGCATGGTGGGAAAGCATGGACGACGTTCGGTACATGCCAGTCTTCATAACAAAAAAAAGAGTTAAAAAAATCTGCAGGCTGTCACTAACTGCACCAGACTCTGGTTTCCACATGGCAGGGAGCTCACCTTGGTCTTTGGACTGGACTGGCTTGGATGAAAGAGGACCTGCGGAGAGAGACACAAGAAGAAAGAGAAGCACTTAAGCCAGGTAGTGTTGGTTGGGTCTTGGACGAGGAGAGCACCAAATGAATGGAAAGCAGTGGCAAGATCATGCGTATAAACTACCCTACCATTATGTCCTCAGTACTCAATATAACACCACAGGAAGAAGAATACCACAGGAAGACACCCAATCCTACTATGTTGCTCTTATGGCATAAGCAATGATCGAACCTGGATTGGTTTGGGTCGAGCTGAATTTAAGTTCGGTTTGACCCGGCATTCACTAACCACACTGCTTGAAAGCCGGAAATTTCTCATCTTTTGAGAAATTATGAGGAGAAATGACTGTGCATCTGAGCTGGATTATTGAGGGGTGCTAGGGATGAAGAGAGAAGGAACTTGGAGCTTGAACGTCCTTTATGAACACCATAACTGAAAGCCATTAGTAGCAACACCATCATCAAGGCAGTCACCACCACACCACCTGCCTGAAATAAGCTAACCTGTTTTTACAGTAGAGTAGAGAATGCCTTGCATCTGGAAGGGCTTTGCAGTGGTGGACGCCACAAAGCCAAACGAGAATGCTGGCTTCTTCACTCCGGGCTGCAGCAACGCACACAGCGACACCCTCCCCTGCAGCAGCGGCTCCTCTGGCTTCGTCTTTGAATCCGCCAGGAACACTTGCATGGTGCCCGGATCCCCAGGCTCGTACTCCACCATCCCTTATATGACTCGCCATCCGTCAGTGTAAATGCCGACACCTCCTTGACCAAGGGTTCTTCCATGCCGTTGATGCTCAGCCCCACGTGCTGTTCGCCCATAAAAGTTCGAAGCGTGTTGAAGACAACGGCCATGCTCCGAGGTCCCACGCCTCTGTACCCCACTCCACCAGGCTTCCCCGCCTTGGGCTTTGCCGCGATCACAAATGCAAACCCGCTGGTCCCGGTAGTACCAGACTGGGACAAAACAGTGAAGGTGAAGTTGACTCTAAACGCCAACTGCAAGCCGCATCCCGAAGTCATACCAGGCAGGTACACAAACAGAGCCACTGGCTTCGCCATGAACTTCCCCACCGTCTCCTTCTTCATGCCCTTGGTGAGAGTCGTTAATGGTGGGAGAATGCTCCTTGAGAGGACTGGAGAAAGGAAGGGTAAGATAAGTGGACCAATGTAATGTGTGTCACACCAGGCGGTTACATAAAGAGCATCACTGGCTTCGCCATGAATTTCCCCACTGTCTCCTGCTGCATGCCCACGGTGAGCACCGTGAATGGCGGGAGAATACTTCCTTGGAGGCCTGGCTAGTTGCAATGTAAGGGCAGCAGTGGGGAAGGGTGGCAGTGGCGATGAAATTGAATGTGTTTGCAATGCTGTGAAGACCAAATCATTCGGTCAACCTTATGAGGGTGGGTCTGTATATATGGGGCCTGTGCCTGCCTAAGGTTTTGTATATGTGTGTGTGTGTGTGTGTGTGTGTGTATGTGTGTCTGTGTGTGTGTCACTTGTAATTGCAACAAAGCGTGGGTTAACCAATGTGTACAGAATATGAAGTAGAGGAAATGGCTGTAAAGTGCATAATGCAGAGAGCAGAGAGACTGTGATGTCCCACATGTAAAAGCGTGTTACATGTACTTATTACCTTCTGGAATACAGGCAATTCTTTCAAGCTGCAAGAATCCCGCATCACACTGGCACGTTGGCACCGAGCTGGTTCCGTCTGGGTAGCACACGCCACGACCACCACAGGCAGCAGTGGTTGGAGAGATGCCACAGAATGCCATGCACTGTAGATGTCTCTCATCTCTAGCTTCTCCAGCACATTTTCCTTTCTCAACCCACGGCGCCTCCCCACATTCTCGCTGACCGGTGCGGTGACTAGTGCACGCCTGGGCCGTCCTGCTGCTCCTTGTCATCATGCCTCCGCCTTACTAGCAAACGCATCGCATAAGTGGCCTGGCAAGTCTCCTCCTCTTCTTCCTCACATCCGCCGCTCTGCACCTCCTGCCTTCGTATCCTTGATGTGGCTCTGGCAAACAACATGCCCCCATCGGTTCCCATCTGTACGCATCCTTTTTCGACGGACGATCTGCTCGCGTCAGCATCACAGCGCTCCTCGCAGTCTTCTCCTCGGCGATCCAGCGAAACTTCCTCTTCTGCATCCTCGCCTCTCTTCTCATCGCCCCGCGCAATCGGGACATCTTTCACCGCGGCGACTTACCCCCACGCCCCCTCTAGTCGAATTTCAGATTTCAAGGACATCTGCTTGACGACTTAGGTCCATGGGCTAATCCTACATCCAAATTGGGCTCACCTCCTTGACGAGAGCACAGGCGATTTCTGTTCTCCTGCGAATGAATCATCGGCTGAGTTGCCCATCTCCCAGCGGGATAGTTGAGTTCAGGTTGCCTGGGCCTCAGAATGGCCATTGTGATGTCCTGCCCTCAAGGCTCCTTGAGTTCTCCTTCAGTGCACTGGGTCCCAACTTGGTGCCACACCCCATACCCAACTACTTTTTGAAGAATCTAAATAGCACACTACAACCCATCTGGGCATGTAACTGAAAGTATTGCAGTTTGAATGCATGCACAAGTGAATCTCCTCTGGGATCCCATCACGACACCTGTAAGAAATCATAGAGCAGTTTTTAACCTTGATATGGTTGGCTCGACTATGCCTTGTCAGATTTTAATGCCTGTCTAGCCTGCAGTGGGGTACTCTGTAGTGAGTACGGCCCCTTAGGGTTTCCTATTTGTATCCCAACTGTTGCTAGTCAAACCCCTCCTTTGTTCATTTCTCTCTTGCCTAGCTAGCTAAACCCTAGCTATGGCTCCTCACTGTGCTTACTCTTCTGACATGGTTTCAGAGCATTTACGCTCCTGGCCTGTGGGCCCACCAACTGCTTCCGCTGTCGTTATGTTTGTCGCGCGCCCCGTGGTGCGCGATGTGTTATTTTCTTTCCGCCACGCGCTCGGAGCGCGTGGCGGCCTTTTCTGCCCGCCGCGCGCTCGGGGCGCGTGGCGGTTTAACCGTCCGTCGAGGCGCCTTCAGGGGGCCCGTGCGCTGCCCCCCGTCGCCCGTCGCGGCGTCTTCAGGGGGCCCGCCCGCTGCCCCCTCCCGTCACTCGTCGCGGCGCCCCGGAGGCCAGCGCGCCACCCCCTTCCGTCACCCGTCGTGGCGCTCTCGTGGGGGCCCGTGCGCGGCCCCCTCCCGTCGCCCGTCGTGGCGCCTCGGGGGCCCGCGCGCCGGCCCCTCCCGTCGCCTCGTCGCGGCGCCTTGGGGGCCCGCGCGTCCCCCCTCTCCCGTCGCCTCGTCGCGGCACCTTGGGGGCCCGCGCGTCGCCCCCTCCCGTCGCCTCGTCGCGGCGCCTTGGGGGCCCGCGCGCCCCCCCCTCCCGTCGCCTCGTCGCGGCGCCTTGGGGGCCCGCACGCGGCCCCTCCCGTCGCCCGTCGAGCCGCCCTCGGGGGCCCGTGCTCGGCCCCCCTCCCGTCACCAGCCGTGGCACCCTCGGGGGGCCCGCGCCCTGCTCCTTCGTGGCGCCCAGGAGACCCCCCCGCCTCCTCCCTTTCCCTCCGTGAACCGCCCCTGCTGCTTCCCGCGCTCCTACCTGGGTTAGGGTTTGGGGGTGGCGGGCATGGGGGTGAACGGTGTGGGTAACCTGCAGCTCCTCCTCCTCCTCCGTCTCCCACTGCTACAGCTGCCGCTGAGGGGGGTGG